GGGGCGCTTCATTTATCAGGACTCATCTCACAGCTCGGGAGTCAGATCTAGGAAAGGCCATGCGGGCCCAGCATGCACACACTGGCCACAGGGCAGCTTTCTTCCACCTCAGAAGGCGATGCTGACCTGGGCACAAGGGCCAAGGCGTGGCTCTGCCGGACCTTGCTGTGTGCCCAGGGACACATCCCCACAGCCTCCGAGCCTCGCTTCTTCTCTGGATAAAACCCACACCCCAGGCTGCTCAGCCAGGCCAGGTGCAAGGGGACAGGAAGGCCCAGCGCTGCTGCAGGAAGCCTTTCTATATAAAAGCAGCAGCAAGATTTGGACAGGTGGGCGGCCCACTGAGTCGGAATTCTGCTCCACCCCTCCTCCAGCCTTTCGCTTCTGTGTTTCATTTCTGTGTTTTGTTTGCTGCCTCCCAAGGCCCCCTTGAAAGCTGGTCACGAGAACTCATTCAACAGGCGCAGAGGTCTCTCGACCAGACAGCTCCACCCACCACACCAGGTCACCGGAGGGTCATCCCACCAGGGCGCTGACCCTCCTCGCCCCTGAGGTTCCTTGTTTTGGGAGCACTGGTCTCTGTTGGTGAGCAATGCTAACGGGCTGGTTCCACAAGAGAGAACACACTTGCCAGGGCCCGTCGGCCCCCTTTGCTGGGAAAGGCCTTCATGCCTTCCTCTTTCATTTTCTCTTTCACACACACCCAAAAAAAAATGTGTTTTTCCTCCTCTCGCCTTCACTCTGGCCTCCCCACAACATCCATCAGCTTCAGAGGCCCACCTTCCAAGTGAACCCTCGGAGGGAAAGCTGAGGCGGGGCCATCATTCTTCCCAGGGTTGTTTACCTGGCTGTTTGGGCCTCAGATACAAAACAGGCACATTTCTTGACAGCGAGGCTGTTTTTCTTCCCTCAAGGCAGCTTGGGAAGGAGAGGGCTGGGTCCGGGCAGAGAGCTCAACTTGCCACCAAGAAACCCTTGTGAAGCTGCCTGGCATTCTCGCTCGGCCCCAGAGGAGGGTGATCTCTTCACTATGCATCCAGCGTAGCTGCTTTGCCAACCTATTGTCACTCGGAATCACTGAAAGAAATGAATGCCTTGCTCCTGCCCAGAGTGAAATGGGTCTGTGCTCTGAAATGAATCTCAATTTAAATGCCGGTTTATTTTTGCTTAATCACTGTTATTCAATATTTAGGTTGATGCAAAGCTAGAGATGATTCAAAATGTATGGAAGCTGCATGTTTAATTCTCTCCAAGAAAATGAGCAGAAACCTGGGTCTCTATTAATTCTGCTGGGAGCGGTTGCATAGCCAAGATTTCAGCCCCTTTGTTTCTCTCCACTCCCACTGCCACTATGTCGGCAGCTGTCTGCACTCCTGATCGGCTTCTGTTAGCCCCAAATTATTCATGCTGCTTGCTGCAAACTCCAATCCGCTCTCTAGAATGATGTTCTTATAACTCAAAAGTAATCCTGCCACTCTCCAACTTAAGTCCCTTTAATAGCTTTCTCGGCTACCAAATAAATCCCAATCTTTTAATGCCCTGCTCAGCAAAGCCTATCTCCTGGCCTCATTTCTCACCCCAATCTGCCTTCTTTTCTTTGTCTTCTCTTACTCTGGCCCCAGGACCTTGACACATGCTGATCTCCTTGCCTGGAATTCACTTTCTCCTCCACTTCTTGGCTTTATCTTCCAGGTCTGAGTTTAAAGGACACTTTCTCAGTAAGGCCTTCTCTGACCTTCCGGATGAAGTTCGGGTCTCCTGGCATAGGTTTCATCCTGGGTGCTTAATACAGCCTAGAATGTGGAAGATACTTAATAATTACTGCCTGGCTCGATAGGCCTTCACGGAAATTAGGCAGCTGCTTTTCCACTGTGTGAATGTGATCTCCGTTGTCTCTAATCACTCCAGGAGCCACTGGGATCGAAGACCGGCTGCAGGAAGGAGTTCCAGACACAATCGCAGCTCTGCGGGAAGCTGGAATCCAGCTCTGGGTCTTGACTGGAGATAAGCAGGAGACAGCGGTCAACATTGCCTACTCCTGCAGACTGTTGGATCAGACCGACACTGTTTACTCCATCAACACGGAAAGCCAGGTGAGGCCACAGTAGGGTCCAATGTCCAAGTGCAGAGCAGCTTGGGCCAACAGAGGACGGGCTTATGGGTGGTATTGGGGCATTTGAGGAAGCCACCCTCCCAACATCTTGGAGCTCTGAGGGCCCTGACGTCAAGCAGCCCAGTGTCCTCTAACCTCATCCCCACATCTGGGGGGCCAGTGTATTTACATTATGTCTAACAGCACATACGCAAAAAGTCCTACCTCTCCTGAATTCTACCCTTGGTCCAGCCTCCTCGTTCTACAGATGAAGAAACTGACAATCACTGAGGCTGTCACCTGCCCAGGGTCACCTTGTGGTTCTGACAGAGTAAGTCTAGAATGCTGCTCTCCTGCAGGCCAGTGCGGACTGCATGACACCATGCTGTTTGCTCTCAGAGCCTCAGTGGTTGGTTGGTTATACCTTGGATGAACCCTCCATTGAAAAAAAGCCTCAGTTAAATTGAAATTATTCTGAGTTTACAATTTCAGCTCCAATTTGTAAGTCACTTTGGTTTGCCACAGAATACATCCTGGAGGGAATGACACACGAGATGAGTCCATTTTAATGGGTTAGGGGAGAGAGAGAGAAGCACAGTTCTAAAACTATGATTTTTTTTTCAACCCAACCAGGTTATGGGTGGCAGAGAGCAAGGTTTGGAGAGAGGGCTGTGTACAGTCTGAAGAAGAATATTCAAAGTTGTAATGCGATTTTATATTTAAGTCTATTTTCACAATGCAAACTGCAGAAAGTGAACATCCACTGTCTTGTTGGGAATATGGGAAGTGGGCGCTGACTTGTATGCTCCTATCAGAAGGAGGCAGGAATGGCATTAGATGTGGGTGTTAACAAGGAAAGCACTGTGTTGCAGGGGTAGTGAGTGGAGGGGACCTGGAGACCTAGAGCATGCCACGGGGAGAAGGGTGGAGCGGAGGGAGGGGGGTGGGAAAGAAAGACCACAGGAAAAAGGCAGGAGGAGGATGGAATCTCAGACTTTCATTGTTGCCTGAAGCTGATCAGGACCCAGAAGTTTGTGAGGTTCGAATTTGTCATTTATTTCATGAAGAATCCACATATGTACCTTTTTTAAAGGTAGTGTACAGCCCTGACCGGTTTGGCTCGGTGGATAGAGTGTCAGCCTGCGGACTGAAGGGTCCCAGGTCCTATTCCAGTCAAGGGCATGTACCTTGGTTGCGGGCACATCCCCAGTAGTGGTGTAGGAGGCAGCTGATCGATGTTTCTCTCTCATCAATGTTTCTAACTCTCTATCCCTCTCCCTTACTCTCTGTAAAAAATCAATAAAATATATTTAACAACAACAACAAAAAAGGTAGTGTACACTATGAAAGTGCCTGAGGCTCTTGAGATGAGTTGGAAAACTCATTTACTTTCTTGTGAGGTGCACAGATGATGCTATGATTAGATGAAACCCCAAAGAATTGTCTAAATGAAAATAATCTCGGGGAAATATCTGGCATTAAGATGATGCTTAGGAGAGAAAGTAATTTGCAGCTTGCTTGAGTGCTTGATCCCTGTAATAGTGTCGGTGTCACCCTACTCTGCTGACAATGGAAATGTTGTTCGAGAAGATCATTTCACTCAAGGTGATTCTAAAAGGACTTGACAACATCGCAAACCTGTGAGCCAGCCTGTGTGTGTTGGGGCTTGAGGGGGCGGCTGCCGTGGGTTCTGTTAAATGCAATGCGTCCCTGCAGGAAGCAGATGTTTGCTGATTAATTAGTGAAAGGCCCAAAGGAGCAGTGGGCCACACTCCATGTTTTCAGTCACTATCAACTCTTTAAAGTTGTCTGGGACCTTCCATGATGGTGCCTGATTGTTAATTTCTACCCACACCCCCGGATGTGCTAAGCCTACGAGTCTTTCTCATCTTCTTGTCTGGGGAAAAGGAGTGGATGCCTGGATATGTCAAGAGAGACCCTGGGGAAATCCATTCTAAATCTCGGATTTATTTCAACCTCCGTTTAATGTAATTACATATTCAGTGGATATTTTCTCCAAGGGTTTTTATCTGCCTAATTCATTATAAATTGATTTAGAGCTACTGTTTCTTTGTTATGCATCTTAAAGCCATAAGCAAGTTAGGGGACCTGTCTAGACCTCAGGGTTTTCAGCCATAAGATGAGAGAATTAATAACCCATCACTGGAAGTGTTGATCTGTTAAGGGATCTTAGAAGGGACTATAGTATTAAATAGAAACTAATAATAGCAGCTATTGTTGTTATTATTCACAACATATTTGAAAGCTTAATATTGTGCAGATACCATAACTCTGAACTTCATTTAGAAAAGATTTAAGATCATAGAAGGAAAATATTTATTAGCATAGGATTTGTATTTGTTAACAAATTATATCAAAACTTAGCCACTAAAAGAGGAGAAACATTATCGCACAGTTTCTGTGGGATAGGAGTCCAGGAGTGGCCTAGCTGGGTACGTACCTCTGGTTCAAGGTCTCTCTTGAGGTTTCAGTCAAGCTGTCAGTCAGGGCTGTGTGTTCAGCTAGATGCTCAATGGGACGGGTCGTTTGGGGATGGAGGAGAATCCTTCTTCCAAGCTCATGGGCCATAATTGTTCGGAGGCCTGGTTCTTGCTGTGTGGGCATCTCCACAGAGTGCCCTGCAGCCTGACCGCTGGCTTTCCCCCGGCCAGCCAAGCCATCCAGGGCACAGTGGGAAAGAATGCGGCATTGGTAGCCAGTCTTTCAAACTAACCTGGAAGTGGCATCCCATCACTTCTGCAGAATTCTCTTCGATAGAAAGGAGTCACTTAGTCCTAGCCCTCACGAGATTGCACAAGGGCATGAATCCTGGGAGGTGGAGATCACTGAGAACCAGCTAAGGGGCTGCCTACCACAGCATCTGACATACCACATGTTAAATGAACAGTAACTATTGGGATTGTTACATAGAAAATTCAAAATTTGGGGTTTTTACTTGAAAGCTTACGTTTTCAACAACTTGCTGGAGGAATTTTCAAAATGTATGCTAATCCCAACTTCCAGCAAGGACTATCTTGATCTCTTTCCCAAGTAAGTATTTCAGGTATAACCAGTGGCTCCTTGAACTAATTCCTGTGGTGCTTTAGGGTCTGTGCACACTGACTGCCTCTTTAGTGTTTCCTAAAGGAAGGCTTGGGAATAATAAGCTGCAGCCCTACTGCCTCCAGAAAAATTATAACATTTTCAGAAGCTTCTAGAATCTCAACGGTTCCCAAACCTGTCATTTTAGAACAACTTCCACAATTTTTAAAAATCCATGTATTGCCTGTACTATTTTTTATTTAATGGCTTCATTTAAATTGACTCACTTTGAGCATTTTAAAATTCATTTTTGGAAGAAATTTTTGGCACGGCAGTAAATGAAAAATACTGCGAAGTAAAGACCATGTGAACGGCACAATGCTATTAAAATCGATAATACAGTTGGCTGCCACAGTTTTTCTCTAGCTTTATTTTAAAATGATGTTTATGGAACATAAAGAGGATGAAGAATATAGTTAGAACCAAAATCTGACATAACCAAAAGGAATGGAGGAGAATTGATAAGAGGAAATAAACTTCTTCACTATGTTTCAAGGTAAACTTAGGGCAGAAAAAATAAGTTTCTTTAAACTAATAAGACTTTCACATCCATGTACAGTGACCAACACATTCATACCAACAGATAAACACACAGTTCGTGTATTTTTTCAATTAAGAGGCCACAATTTGAGTAGTATTGGTCTGCCTCCACTACTAAGTTGAATGGCCTTGAGCAAGTTACTAAAAATTTCAGTTTCTATTTCTTCTTCTCTAAACTAACATTGGTAATAACCACCCTACCTACACACAGGACTGTTCTGAGGAACAAAGGAGAGCTAAAATGACTGACACACAAAAAGCATTGTTCTAGCACATATTGTCCTATTTACCATCACATTAGTATCGCATACCATCCCCATATCAGTCCCGATCTTGCTGAACTATTGCCATGCCCATTCCCAAGCAGTATCTCCTATTTTGGCCATTTTCGTTTTGATTCCAAATTAATATAGCTTTGATGTTGTTTGAAATATTGCAGAGCAATGTAAAAATCAGAGAATGTTTCTCAGGTAAGCGATCTGTATGGTGGTAGAGTTTAGTAACTATTTCACTGAAGGATAAAGTGAGATTTTAAACCTATGTTTCCAATGTTGCTTACTAACACCAAATGCATTATTGCGACTCGTTACAGGAAACTTGTGAATCCATCCTCAACTGTGCCCTGGAAGAAGTGAAGCAATTTCATGGGCCCCGGAAGGCAGAGCGCAAGCTCTTTGGGTTCCACCTACCTTCTGAGACACCTCCCCCCGCCTCAGGAGCCGCGGTGCCAGCAGTTGGATTGGTCATTGATGGGAAGACACTGAACGCCATTTTCCAGGGAAAGCTGGAGAACAAATTTCTGGAGTTGACCCAGTACTGCCGGTCTGTCCTGTGCTGCCGCTCCACGCCACTGCAGAAGAGCATGATCGTCAAGCTGGTGCGAGACAAGTTGAGCGTCATGACCCTTTCCATAGGTACCCATCATGCTGAGATGTGGGTGGCAGTTTTAAGGGCTAATCTGATGAGAGGCCTGGACCGGATTGGGGGAGGGAGGGGGGGTTGTCAGGTGTCAAAGTCAACATGCTTAGGCTGAAGGTCATTGTCTTAAAGGGAGGGAGGTCAAAGTGACAAATGTGGCAGCCAGGAGATGAAGCCGAGGTGGAGAGTGAATCAAAGTTCTCAGGATTAGAAAGTCAGCAACAGAAAAATCAGGACTTGGATGGAGGCCAAAGCCAAGAGGGGCCTCAAATCCAGCTAGCTCATCTACACCCAGGCCAACTCAATTCTGGGATGTAGACCATTTCCCCTTCAATACTTAACACGAGGCACAATGCGATGAACCGCGGGTGTTTGTGGATTTGGTACTCTGTTGGGTGCTGATGGCTGGTGGGGAGATGTAAAAGTTGGGCCTATCCCATATTTAATTTTGTATGTTCATTGCTATATACAAGACCCAGCACAAAGCACACACAGTTAAATGCTGGCTTCTTGTTTGATGAAGAATTCCTCATAAGAGACTACACTCTAATCAAGGTTAAGGTAGAGAAGTAAAGCTTGTACTTACTTCAAACCTTCCAAGAACAACCAATCCTGTTTTACAAGAATCTTACTGGTCTCCATTAGCCCTCCAGCCACCTTCTTCTCTGCAGCCACTTTCCTCTCCCCAGCACTCTAGGTCCCAACCAAGAGAAACTACTTCCCATTCTTCAAAAGCCTCGTCCTCTCTTTCTCTCCCTCCCACCCATTCCCCTACACTCTCCCTCACCCCTTTTCTCTCTCTTCCCCTCCCTCTTCCATGCCTTTGCACAAGCTATTTCCTCTGTAAAACCCTCCTAACCTCCCTTTTCTCTGGGAGCTCCCATGGCACATAGCCCTCCTAGCTCCAAAGTGCTGGTATGTTTTCTATGATGGCCTACCTGCTTGGGAGACCATGAGTCCCTGAGTAGAGGGACAATGTCATTCTTACCCACCATTTCATCCCACGCCCAGCACATACCATACAAATAGTAAATATTGTATTTATTTAGGGACATTCTTGAAAACGGTTCCAGGTTCTCTTCTTCTTACACAGGCATGAGAAGAGATTGTCCTTTCTGGCATTCCAAATAAGAAACCTATTATATGTTGTTGTTTTTTTCCTGGTATTCAAGTAAAAACAATAAACACCCCCCCCCCTAAAAAAAAAAAGAAAAGAGGAAGTGGGCAGAAAGAATATAGGGAGCATAGCTTTAGCCACTGCATTCTAATTTTATTCCCCTGAATTGTCCTCTTCAAAACTTTAGACACACACAAGGCTATCACCTGAGTCTGACTCCCTGAAGTATGAGATTGGCTTCATTCCCATAGCAACAGAGACAACATCAGCAGGGTGAGAAAGAGCATGATTATACACCTCCATTCCCACTGGTTTGCTACGGGAAGAGGTGAAAGGGTGGATTTGTTCTGCCATGGGGGAAGATTAAAATTATGGGCTGCTCTGCTATCAAGGAAAAAAAATCACAAGAATAATGGCTACTAATAATGATAAAATTTTTAAGATCAGTACATTTTGTTGCCCCGTAATTAGGGGAATAAAATTCTCTCCCCCAAAGACATATTTTCTATGATGTCTAATAGAGAGTTAATTGCAGATTATGAGAACCTTCTGGGAAAAGAGGTGGGGTCAGGAGGTGAAGGCAAAATAGTGTACAAACCACGGCCCACGGCTGAATCCAGCCCACTGCATGCTTTTATATAGGGATGCTGAGATGGTTTTTATTTTTATAAATATAAGGACAGTTGTTCAATTTTGCATCTTGGCTGACAAAGCCTAAAATATTTACTATCTGGCCCTTTACAGAAAAAGTTTGCTAAACTCTCCTGTAATAGATAAAGCATTAGGAAGAAGCTTATGATCTATACAACTCAATGTGTAGAGCTGTGCTGTCCAAGACAGTTGCCCCCTAGCTATCTGTGGCTATTTACATTTAAAATTAAAATTAAATAGAATTTCATGAGCCACATTTCAATAGTCCCATGTGGCTAGTGGTTTCCATGTTGGACAGTAAAGATATAAGACATTTCCATCATTACAGAAAAATCTATTTGGTAGTACAGGCCCTAACAACCTCCAGTTTTCTGAATTTTCATTGAATGAGAACTCAATGTGACTAAATGTACCTCAACCAAAAAAGTAGTCAATCTCATTTGTCTATATTCAAAAACAAAACTAAACACTGTCCCGGTCCTTGAATACCATTGACAATCTGATGACTTAGTTGTCCAAACATACCAGTTGTCTTAAAATGGCTAGTATTTCATGTCATAGTGAATTCGGGAAGGTGTGCCAGCTTTGGAATTGGAAAGATCTCAATTTTCCCAAGTGTCTTCACTAGCACTTGTCTTGCATTACTCTTGCTAAGTCCCTATGTTGCTCAAATTCTCCATTTGCTCCTCAGTAAGGTCCATTGTAACATTTGTGAAGGCCTTTTGCGTAAACTATAAGCACAGTTCAAGTCCCACTCACTCCCCATTGTATTCCCAATAGCTAATACTGTACCTAGAAAAAGGACACAAATATTTGTTGAATGATAAAAAGCAGGGCTTCTTGTCCAAAGAAGAAAAGACATCTCTCAGGCCAAACACCATAGCAATTGACTTTTCCTGTAAAACTAGAGAAATGTTAAAAGGATTCAATTAAGTACAAATGGAACACTTTAGAGCTACTGGTATAAAAACCCTCCTGTGTCCCACAGCAGTTGGACCAGGAATAAAG